ATCCCGAAATAGCATTCTTTGCAGCAAGCAATCCCTAAATTTATATCTTTACGTCCATGATTTTACAATCTTGTCTTACATACATCAGGGCTGCTTGTAAATTTAAACTAATTTATTTTATAGAGTGCAGGGAAGATGTAAGAGTGGGGGCTGGGTGGGGGATTATTTAAATGAGTTTTTGACAGGGGGGGGGGGGAGGAATACCCCCTTAATAAGATAAGATTAACTGCAGATTTAAAAACCTTAGACTGAAAGATAGAGTTTATATATTATTCAGCTCATTAATTTAGAACTTGTGCATAAAGTGAAAATTTATATTTTATCTATCTATCTATCCATGAAGTAAATGGTGTTCAAATAAAAAGTTAATATAAAACTATTTCTATAAATCTATAAATGTCTCCAACCACTTACCTTGCTAGAATTATATAAGCAGTTTAGATCTTTACATATTTAAGCTTTTTAATTCGTCATTTCTTAAGAGTTTTTTTGTATTTTAAATTAGTTTTGAAAACTGTTGATCTACAGTGTACCATGACTAATAACTGCCAGGCATATGTCTCTTCTTTGACTTATTCTCCACTAAAGGCAGTTAAGGCAGTAAAAGATGCCTAAACTAAGCATAAACTACTTTAATCTTAACATTTAAAGACCCTGCTTCTCACCCCCCCCCTTTCTTCCCAGTAACCAATACATTAAAATGTGTATCTAGATCGCTATTGAATTCTAACCAAAAAAATATGAGTTATGTGTATGTTTTAACATATTGGGTTCTCTTTTAAAATAATGCAGTATTCATTTTGAACCTAAACTCCTTTTAAATGATAACAATTCGGTTAATTAAAAATGGAGGGCAAAAAGTATATTTTTCCAATTAGAAGTAAATACCCATCCCTGAAATCTCTCTCTTCGACCCCCCCCCGGCCCCACCAACCCCCCCTTCCACCCTCTTAAATGTTAAAAGCTATATGGGTTCCAGTAAGTGAACGGAAGCGGCTTTAAATCAAATTATATGATATGGGTAAAAGCATTTTTTAGCATGTGCTTAGCAAGGCTTAGCTAGGCTGTTGATTTTAGAATTTAGAGGGTTTGTAGATATCTGTAAAAGGCTGTCCGTCTGTTTCACTGTTTATAGAATTTGTATATCCAATGGTTTTATATCCAATGGTTATATATCCAATGGTTTTATATCCAATGATTATATATATCCAATGGTTGTTTATCCAATGGTTGTTTATCCAATGGTTGTATATAATCCAATGGTTGTTTATCCAATGGTTGTCTATCCAATGGTTGTTTATCCAATGGTTGTCTATCCAATGGTTGTATATCCAATGGTTGTATGTCCAATGGTTCTTTATCCAATAGTTATATATCCAATGGTTGTTTATCCAATGGTTGTATATCCAGGTTGTATATCCAATGGTTGTATATCCAAAGGTTGTATATCCAATGGTTGTATATCCAATAGTTGTATATCCAATGGTTCTATATCCAATTTTTGTATATTCAATGGTTGTATATCCAATGTTTGTATATCCAATGGTTGTATATCCCATGGTTGTATATCTAATGGTTGTATATCCAATGGTTGTATATCCAATGGTTGTATATCCAATGGTTGTATATCCAATGGTTGTATATCCAGGTTGTATATCCAATGGTTGTATATCCGATGGTTGTATTTCCAATAGCTGTCAATTAATTTGTCAATTAATCCTAGATGAATCATTTATTTGTGTCTATTAAACAGGGTTACCCACATACTTCAGAGACTACTGTACGGATCTAATACTGTCTGTTTTCTTATATTCATGATTCCTGACAACTTTAAAACATTTTTCATTCTTTGGTTAATCATATAATTAGCTTTTCAAAGAGTAAATTCAAGACAGGAAGAAGACTAGATTTAACCTTGGGATCGTCATATTTCAAGAGTTTCAGGCCATCTTTACAGTTTCATTCTTTGTAGGTAACCCAGCAAGTAATTTAAGTAATTTTTAGTCTTTTTTAGCTATTTTTTAAGGTTTATTTATCTGTTTATCTTTTTGACCACTAGACTATTCTTAAAAGGTTTGTAACTGCAAATTCGAGTGACCTTCCATTAGCTTTTTCTAATCAGGTAACAATTCATAAGTTCATAATATTGAAAACTAATTAATTTTAATTGTTGTTTCTCTACAAAAGAGATTTGCGCATTTTGCATTTTTACTGCAGGAAAATCAATGAGAACTTATCAAAATAAATAACTTTTTTGGCTGGAAATACTTCATTTTCTTCCACATTATTGATAAGATAAAGTTTTGAAGGCTTTAATGCAAGGAAAGTTAATTGCAGTTGCGTATTCTCTGCGTACATTTTGAAAGCAGTTCTCTCTGGGCGTAATTTGTAAAAAAGAATAGGTGCATCAGTGTTCGTTTAGTATCCAAGGAGGTCAAAAGCATATAATTTTGATAACTCACATAATAGTTTCCTATGACCAGAATATTTCATTGATTTT